TTACTAATCAAAATCATGAAGTCTTAAAAAATTCATGCATGGAGGGGGGTGTACCTCAGCCCAGCCTGAACCCTTTCCAATCTGGGACATCCCTCTCACAGTCCAGGACTGCTGGCGCCCAACTGCTGGCCTTCCTTCCTTCCTGATTGAACCCTAACCACTTCTGCCTGCCAGCCTGATCACCCCTAACCACTCTGATGCCAGTTTGATTAATGCCTAACTACTTCCCTGCCAGCCTTCTTGCCCCTAACTGCCCTCCCCTGCAGGCCTGGTCCCCCCAACTGCTCTCCCCCGCAGGCCTGGGTCCCGCCCAACTTCCCTTCCCTGCAGGCCTGGTCACTCCCAACTTCCCTCCTCTGCCACCCTGGTCACCCATAACTGCCCTCCCCTGAAGGCTTGTTTGCCCCCAAATGCCCTTCCTTGCAGGACTTGTCCCTCTCAATTGCCCTCCCCTGCTTACCATCTTGTGGTGGCCAACTTGTGTACACATGGGGGCAGGATCTTTGACCATATGGGGGCAGCCATCTTGTGTGTTGGAGTCATGGTCAGTCTGCATATTACTCTTTTATTGGATAGGATAGAGGCCTGGTGCATGGGTGGGGGACTGCTGGTTTGCCCTGAAGGTTGTCCTGGATCAGGGTGGGGGTTCCCTTGGGGCATGGGGCAGCCTGAGCGAGGGGCCTGTTGTGGTTAGCAGGTCAGCCACACCTCCAAGTGGAGGCCCTGGTATCTGGAATTTATTTACCTTCTACAATTGAAACTTTGTATCCTGGAGCGAACCCAATCCACCTGCTTGCTCCATGGCTGCCACCATTTCTTCTTTTTTTTTTTTTTCTTTTTTTAACATTTTAATATATTTTTTAAATTAAATTATTATCTGTGTACATATTTTAACATTGCCCCCTCCGCTTCCATACATACCCTTCCTCCCCAGAGTTTTGTGTCCACTGGTTGTACTTATATGCATGTATACAATCCTTCGGTTGATCTATTATCTCCCCCAGATCTCCCTACCCTCCCAGCTGTAATTTGACAGTTTGCTTGTTGCTTTACTGTCTTTATATCCGTCTTTTGGTTCATCAGTTTATAATGTTCTTTAATATCCATAAAGAGTGAGGTCATGTGGTATTTCTCTTTCATTGACTGGCTTATTTCACTCAGCATGATGTTCTCTAGTTCTATCCAGGTTGCTGCAAATTATGAGAATTCCTTCTTTTTTATTTGCCACCATTTCTGTTTGAATTTGTTTACCTTCTATAATTGAAACTTTGTACCTTTGAGTGGAGGCCTAGGCCAGCAAAGGTAGGTGGAAAGCTTGGCTTTTTCCATTGCTGGGGAAACCCAAGTCTCCCTCCTGCTCTCTGTGGCTGTGGCCATCTTGGTTGGGTTTATTTGCATACTCTCTCTGGTTGGCTAGTGGACATGGCTTGTGGGTATATAGGAGGCATGGTCAATTTGCATATTACTCTTTTATTAGATAGGATGCTGTCAATCCCCATCTCAGATAGTTCAAAAGTGACAAGGGTATGTTAAAAATTTCAAAGAAGCTCTTCAAAATAGCAGCTGGGGAAGAGTGTTAAAAATGACCTTGGCAGTCAGAGAAAGATAAATATCACATCATCTAACTCATTTGTAGAATATAATCAACAACATAAGGTAATGAACAAAAATAGATCCAGAAACAGAGAAAAACCAAACAGACCATCAAACCTCAGAGGGAAGGCAGGAGGGCGAGGTGAGGGGAGGGAGGGAGGCTGGGTAAGAGATCAACTAAAAGCCTTATATGAATGTGAGCACAGACACTGGGACAGTGAGGACTTCTCCTGGGGGGTAGAAGTGGCTGAGGAAAAAGGAGATACATGTAATACTTTAAACAAACAAACAAAATTGTATTATAAAAATAATTAAATTAAATTTTAAGAAGTCCTCAACTATTAAATTACAAGACATAATTAATAATCCATTATTACTAATGCAGATAATTCCATTTAAAATGCATATGGCAGTGCAGTAGAGCCAACATAAATTCGTTTTCTCAACTCAGACATTATTTTTCTAAGAATCTGGCTAGATGTAGGTAACCTGACATACTATGAAAGGAAAAGAGAAACAAAGTTTCAGACATAAAACACACACACACACACACACAAATATGTGCTTGGTCAGTATTAAAATTAGAAGTGGGTCATAAAATCTCACTATTGAGGTCTGGCCCTGTTGGTAAAGTGAGCACTATGGGCTCCCTAGTACTCACTGACACCTCAAGCTCTTTAGCCACCGCAGAAAATAATAACCTGCACAGTCCCTGCTTTCCCCTCTCCTAGATCATCCCACTTTTTTTTTTTTAGTAGAGGACTCTTCATGGAGCCAGCTAATTCATCTCATGCATATATCAGTCTGTCTGCAAACTGCTATTTTTTACAAGTTCTCAAACTTCTGAGCTACCAAGAAGTTTTGATATTTAAAAAAATTAAAACTGAAAGATAATCAACCATTATTAACAATGCTTATCTCTGAGGGGTAGGGTCACAAGTCCCATATTTTATAAATATTTTCTAAAATATGTATGCATTGTTTTAAGATAAGAAAAATATATGTTGTTTTATCAAGAGACCTAGAGGCTGGCAAACAATGTCTAGATCCCTGCACAGAGATGGATTTCATAGATTGCTAGAGACAATATTCCCATTGCCTTTAATTTCGCTTCTTCCCTGTCCATAGGGAGAAAAGGGCCCGACCTTTTTCTTTCAAACACTCCAAGAATTAAGTTCTATAGAAGTGCTACAGAAGGGTTGTGACCAAGGCCTTGGCCAACCTGTAGGAAGCTTGCCTAAAGAAGCCAGAGAATAAGAGCACCAGATTATAACAGCCCAACCAGTGGGCTTTGGTAATAAAAGTCCTTTAGCCCAGAGGCTTTCTTATGCAAAATAGGAAAAGAGGGTGAGGTAGTGGATAGTTGCCCAATTTGCAATTCATGTCAGGCCTTCCTCTTTCTGCCATTTCTTTTGGCAGATTTAACCAGATAGCAGAGAATGCTTTAATGCCATTCTACATTTAGAAAATATTGAATGTCCAGAGTGTAAAGGGCCTGCTCTTATCTCTCCACTGTGGCTATGGTAATTACCAGGAAAGCTATACAGACTGCTCTGTTTGTCAGGAAGTAAGAGGAAAGAGGCATGATCATTACCTATTATCTTAAACTTGGGGGTTATATACTTCTAAGCTTAGGAAAGGGTAGAGAAGTTTTAATATAGTAAAGAAGGGAATGGGGATGGGGCTTATACACTGTGACCCAACCACACAATGGAATACCTCACAACTAATAAGAATGAGATAATTTTACATGAACTGATAAAAGTTTACCCAAAATTAACATTTTTAACGTGTGACAGAGTGCATAATGTGTGTAGTATCCAACCATCTATGTAAGAGAAAGAAAAGCTTAATATCAGAGATTAGCTCTGGAAGGGTAAACAAACTGACAACAGTGGAGGCCTCTGGGTAGGAAACAGGGGGGTATGGAATGGAGGTAGAAAAAAAAAAAGACTTCCTTTTGAAATACTCTTTAGAAACTTTTGAATTCTGTACCATATTTTTCAAATATATGTTTATTGATTTCAGAGAGAGGAAGGAATAATGAGAAAAAAGTCAATGATAAGAGAGAATCACTGATCAGCTGTCTCCTGCACGTCCCCCACTGGGTATCCAGTCTGCAATCTGGGCATGTGCCCCAACAGGGAGGAATATAAATGGTTCATAGGTCAACGCTCATCCACAAAGCCATGCCAGCAGGGCTGTACCATATATTTTTAATATATTTTTAAACATTCTACATATACTTCATAAGTAGGATCTCAATTACTAATCCAAAGTGAAGTATGAAGTCACTCACAGATGAGAACACTGAGGCTGAGAGAGGTTCGATCACTTTTCAACAGTCACACAACGAGAGTGGTGGAATGAGGATCCAAACATGACTCTTAAACATGGCATTGACCATACTTCTTAGTTTCAATGAACTCACAGATCCTGGAGGCAACAAAAATGTCATAACTATGAGGCGATGGAGTCACTATCACAGAAAGGACATGAAATAGTAGCTGGGAAGCAGGGGCATTAACAAATACATGCAATAGAATGGAGATCACAAAGCTATAAACTACTTCTTGGTCCTTTCTAACCCCTGTCTAGAAGCAGAACCCTACATCCTCCACTAGCACTATTTGTTTTACTGTTCCCCTATTTCCACCCATGATTGCCCGCAGTAGCCTAATTTCTCCTCCCCACCCCATGCCATCTTCCACAGCCTCCCATCTGACCACAGAAAAGTATTACCCATTCTGGCTCTCCTCAGCATACCTAAATTTTAAAATATCTGTTCTATGTTATATTCTCTCAGAACCATGTAGAACTAATCAACTAGCTCTAGCAGAAGTTACCCCTCCCAGATACACCTGCATATTAATTAACAGTAAGCATCAGCCAAAGAGCAAGTGATTTTAGGGAAAGGGAGGTATTGTAGAATCATGATGCAGTACAAGGAACACTAGGCTTGAGGGTCATGTGTCCTTGGTCTTATTCAGCCTATGTGACTTGGGGCAAATCAATTCACCTCCCTAACTCTCAACTTCCTTAGCTTATATTAAAAAAAAAAAAAATGTGTTATAACAGTTGATCTTTCCATCCTGCAATATTCCACCATACAATGCTGCTTTTCTGATTCCCATCCCCTCTGAACTTGATGTACTAGGTGTGTTGAACTGTACTGTCTGAGAAAAATATAATATAAGCCACATGTAATTTTAAACATTCTAGTAGCCCCACAAAAAGATAAAAAGAAACAGTGAAAATAATTTTAATAATAGATTTCATTTAACTCAATATTTCTAAAACATTATCATTTCAACATGCAATCAATATAAAAATTGAGTTTCCATTCTTATTTAGTACTAAGTCTACAAAAGTTGTTGACTTGCAATTCTTGAAAATCAATGCACAAAAAGCTAAAAGCACCTCCTTTATTCTTGGCATCAGCACTGACAGAGTTCCTGGCAGAGGATGGTTTGCTTGGCCAGCTCCTGCTGGAAAACCTGCATAATCTTGATGGCACAGTAATATTTTACGTTTACTTGCACAGAAACATGTAAGATTCTTGTGGTCAATGCTGAAATATTTCAGGTGCTCAAATTCTTAGGCCCTATTATGTCCTCCCCCTAACAAGGAATAAAATTGTTTACTGCCTGCAAAACCCATGTTTCCCCTCTTCCCAGCCCTCTATGCACATTCCTTCCAGCTTCCCTGATTACCCAGTTCCATTTTCAGATCATTAACCTCTAAGGCTGGCCTACTTTTCAAGGTCACAACAAGCAGAAAAACATCTGCATTATACAAATAATAAATTATAATTAGAATAAGATATAGAAAGGGAGAAACCAGCAAGTGTCTACCAGAAAGCAAGGATTCAGGCAGAATTGGTGAAAAAACCATTAGACAAAGCACAAAAATACTACTGCATGGCAGGGGAAGGGCTTCACAAGAGGGAAAGAGATGGTAACAATACTGAGTATAACAAAACAGGGGCTGGCTACTGGCCACCTGGAAAACTGAGCTGAAGCCCAAGAAGCACCAAGCAAGATCACTTTACCCAGTGAGAAGAGTGAAGCAGACTCATTTTGTTCTCAGTAATCACCTGTGTGATTCTGAAAGTCATGTTCTAGTCTGAATAGAGATTGGGCCCAGGTTCTTTTGAACCAATTGCAAAATCATGGAAATTGTGTACAGATAAACAACTAGGCCAGATCCATGAAAAGGAGCATAAGAGAGAAGAGGCCCTCTCAGGTGGCACTCTGTCTAACTAAAGGCCTGGTTCAAGGGTAAGATGTTCAAGGGCTTTATTCACACGATGACTGAAAAATCAACTCCTTGCCTTTGCCAAGAAGATGGAATGTTTCATAGACATACTCTCCATTCCCAAACTTCTCCTAACAAGGCATCTCTGGGTATAAGAGGAAACTGTTCTGGAGGACTTCAGCCCTCCGGCCCCACTTTGTTTCCATATGACCTGACACCAGCCAAGACAGTACACATGATTGCATTAGCTCTTCCTAGAATTAAGCTGGCCCCACTTCCATAGGGGCCCAGCCAGCAACAGGAAATTGGTGCCATGGATGAGTTATTCTGCTCTGGAGAGTGGAGAGGCTGAGGTGCATGGGAAAGACCACTCAGTCACAGATGGAGAGCTAGTAGGGGAAGAAAACATAGCCTCCCAGATCCAATGGAAAAGCTGAGCCAGCTTGCAGAGGAAGGGCGGGGAAGAAGGAGATGCTACAGAGAAAAGAATACCATTGTCATTTATGGGACTACTATTCACTTACCTTAGTCCCATTTCCCATCCCTCAGGAATTCTACCAACTTGGGAACATAAATAAGGATTCTTTTGGAAGTATATTTTGATGCTTAATGTTATTTCTTCAACAATAAAGAATTCCACTTTCTCTAGGACATATTCTCTGAAATATACTTTCTTCGTTTGGATTACAATGATCTTAAATTTGCTGAGAAAAAAATTCAAATAGATTATGTTTTACCTTTTTGATATACAAAAAACTGCTAATGTGACTACTTCTGGTGAGTTGAATTTGGGAAGAGACTTTTTATTACAATTCATTTCTAAATCTTTTAAATTTGGAGCCATGTGACAGTATTACCTATTTTTATCATACTTAAATATCCTGAAATTAAAGCAAAATTCGCCTCTTTGGACTTTTCATTATTTAAATTCCTGATTTGTTTTTAATTTTTAAAATTTATTTTAGAGAGAAGGAGGAAGAGAGAGAAAAAAACATTGACGTGAGAGAGAAACATTGATCAATTGCCTCCTGAGCTTGCCTGGAGATCAAACCCTCAACGTGGATGTGTATCCTGACCGACAATCAAACCTGCCACCTTTCAGTATATAGAACAGTGCTCCAATCAACTGAGCCACACCAGCCAGGACTGAATTCCTGATTTTTTAACTGATATTTTGTTTTCTTTCTTAAAAAGGAAAATGTTATTTTTAAAGAAAACTATTGACATACTACCTTCTATGTATCCTTTTTATGGAGGTCAAATTGCAGCCCATTCATGAATCTTCCTTTCCCATAACAACACCACTATAATGAGTCATGACTACTAATGAAGGTCAGGACCATCAGCCAGAGCACTTCTGAAGAAGTCTGAGCAGCTTTGCCAACGGCAAGCTCAATTGGCCTCTTGCCATCTGCTCTTAGGAGACCAGGGTTTATGAAATGAAAGGGCTTTAAAAAAAACCATAAAAGTTTTCCTAAATTTTTAACAAGTCTCTGGAACAATGGAGAAAGTCAGTGTCTGCCAAGACAAAGTAATTGCTTGAGCTAAAGCCAACACATGAACAACAGGGTGAAGGCCTGGGGATGGGGGGAGCAGGACACAGTGGGTCAATAAAGATAAATTTTTTAAAAGTCAGAGGATAGATATGAATGAATACAAACTATCTTAGCTTACCTGAGGATAATTAGTGATTCTTTCCCAAAGCATACAGAGCTATTCAGAGGGAATTCCTGCTGTGTTCATGTGTTCAGCAAAGGGGTGAAAAGAAAACTTTGAGCAATACAAAAAAAAAAAAAAAAAAAAAAAAAAAAAAAGCTCACTGAATTAGAGAAAGAGAATTGGAAACCTAATGATTAATAAATAAAAAACTGGCAGTTTGAAAGACAAATTGTGTATGTGATTCTGGGCTAGTCACTTTTCTCTGTGGTTTTCAAGTTTCTCAACCCAAAAAGAAAGAAGAAAGAAAGAAAAGTACTGGAATAAAGTTTTTTTCTCCAGTTTTAAAAGTTATATAATTGTATTCTAAGTCTAAATTCATGAGAAGAGTAGAGATTAGACATAACTCACATAGAGGGGAAAAAAGAATCTAAAAGCGTGAACTCCTATCCTTTGGAAAGGAGGCCAATGATTACATGTCTGAGGAATTAATCCTCAGGAAATAACCAAGGTTGTTCCCAAATAGTACTTAGGGAGCTTGTTTGCTTTACAATACTGAAGAAAACAATACAAAATAATCAAAATGTTCTGCAATGGGGAGTTGTTAAAATTAATTATAGGACTTTCTGTAAATTGGAATATTATTTTGCCATTTAAGACCATGTTTCAAAAAATACCTATCATATGCAAAATTTACTTATATCCATATATGTCTACACAGAGAAAAAATGCTGAAAGTATAACCATTATAATAGCAGACTTATAGGTGATTTGTTCTCTTCTTTAAATTTTTCCTATTTTTCACATGTCTTAAATGTACAAATATTTAATTTACAATTTAATATGGTTTAAATTAAGTTTTTTAAACATATGATGAGGAAGATTTTTTTTTTAACTCTGAAGTTCTATTCAGAGTTCAATCCTGCATAAAGTACATGATAAAATAGATGTGTCATGACTCAAACTCAATGTTCAAGAATCAGCAGGTTAGACGTTTTCCAAACTGCTCTCATAGACTACAGCACTAGTCTCTCCTAGGTGGTCTGGGCCAGCTCTTGCTCAGGTCTAGCAATTCCTCCTTATATAAGAGAATCAAAGAAATGACACAGGAGGTACCTCCATCCCCAAAAGGGCTCCTACAGGCCCAATCCTTGACAAACTGCCCCTTCTCCAGGAAGGGCAGGAGAGGTAGGCTTCATCACTCACCTGGATCAAACTTCACCACCAAGAGGCAGAGAATCAAGGTGGCCAGGAGGCTCTTTTTGAAGGGCAGGGAAACAAAGTGATTCACTACAGAGTCCCAAAGCCTGCGAAGCAACATCAGTAGTGACAGAAACTTTTGGGAGGAGTCTGGGCAGGGAGACAGAACATAACTGTAAGGTAAGTCACAGGAACCAGCTTCCCTAAATCTGAGCTTTGAGCTTGATTATAAGAGTTGAATAAAAGGTAATTTTATAACTCATGTAATTCATAAAGTGGTTCTAAAGGAGATTCCGAAGCTTCAACAATGTTTTAAGGACTATATAACCAGACTATCATTTCCTAGGGGAAGACTTTGACACACCACATCTACTCAGCTAGGAAAATCTGGCATATTTGGTGTTTTTCTAAATACCCTATTCTATAACATTATTTATATTTTAGCCTAAGATATGTGCATAGAGTTACACAGAACAATAGGTCTTGATTATCACAATATTGCAGGAAAATAAAGGGCACTTACCACACATAGTGAAGAATTCAAAGGTCCTGGATTATGAATATAAACATGAACACTACCAACCCTAGAACAAGTGGTGCCCAGTCCTGATAGAATACTCTGAATTTGCCATCAAACCCCTTTCTTCCCCCTCCTCCCCATGGGTGGAGGGGCAGAGGGTTTGGGGGGGTCATAGGTAATCTCTGAAGCCAACATATCCTGTTTGCAAAAAAGTGATCCTGTCTCAGCAGGTTCATGCTCTTTAGCATGCACGTGTGTGTGTGTGTGCACACACACACACTCATACACAACAACACTTAAGACAACAGTATTACAGTCTCATACAGCTGAAGGGCCCTTGTGGGGGGGGGGGGGAGAAGAAAGGAACTCAACCTATTCTATATCGAATATATTATGACCAATACATTAGAAACTGAAATTCATGATAAAGAACAATTTCCTTACAAAACTGCCATTGATAAAATGAGCTGCTTTAGAAAACAGTGAATTTCTGCACTTAAACGTATTTATGTACAGTCTAGAAGTCTAGATCACTCAAGGAAAAGGAGATGAAAAGGATTAAAGAACCAGGGGAAGGGTCTGGAGGAACTTTTAAGTTTCTTTGTAACAAATCAACACTTAAACCCACCCCTTTGCCAGTTCCCCAAGTGTGTGGTATTGAGTCCTGAAGTGGTTTCTCTACAAAAGCTAGTCTATAAATCTGCACGCTAATGTGCAGAGGTGGGCTGTCCACGAAGGGGGTGGACATCAATCACTGGAAAAGACACCCAAGAGGTTTGATGAGTGAGGCAGATGGGAGATTGAGCAGAGGCACCCAAACTGAAGATAAGTAATTTTTACCTCATAAGTCAGGTTACCAAGTTATCATGTTAGTTTCTCATTATCTTTTGGCTATCCCCAAGCATATCTCAGCTGTGTCTACATTTGCATTAGCATTTAAAGGAATAACATCCTACCTAGCCCAGCATAGTACAGGCAAGAGATCTAATGAGAGGACCCCAAGGAGATGGTGACTTTTAGGAGAAAAGAATCAAGGTCCTGAGACCCAGCAACATATTCCCATATGAAGATTTTCTTTCCACTACCAACTTCAGCATGTCTGGACTTTCTAAGCAACTCAACTGGTTTCTGATTCTGTGATTTGGGAGTTACTCATAGAAAGAATTGTTCCCAAACTCCCAGGAATGTCATGATGGACCCCAAGGCCCAGAGGAAAGCCCACAACTACACTTTAAAGCCGCAGAAGGATAATATCCTACTTTCCTGGTTTAGCTTCTGGTCCTCCTTAGAGTCAGAGTGTTCATGTTTCTGCTGTTGCCTTGCTATGCTGATGACCTGGAGTACATCCAGCTGCTGCTCCTCACTGAAGGCTGCAGAGCCCACCACTAGCTCCTCAGCCTCTGACAAGCAGCCCAGAGGCAGTAGCACCTGCTGTAGGTAAAGTTCTGTCAAGGCTCTGTATTCTGGAAGACCCTGATTGTCTGGGTCTTGGATCCAGGTACTGGCCGCTTCCAGCATAGCTCCAGGCTCTTGCATTTTGTTGTATAAAAGAACACTGCAGCCCAAAATAATCCAATCCCCCCCCCCCCGCCACCCCCCCAAAAAAGGTCAGTGTTCCACAGTTGGTTCATTTCTCATAACCACTATACTCTCTTATCCAACTCCTCCCCTGTGTCCTCCAGTCCTCCCTTATGGATTGCTGACATTGAAAGAATTAGGAATTTTTAGAAAGTAGCAAAAAGTTCTCTTCCACTATGACATTTCACTCTGTCATCCCATTTTACATCTCCTATTCCAGTATCCTCTACTCTTCCTCTTTCCTTTGACCCACTCTTAAATCCCTCTTTCCTCATCCTTTAGTGCTGTTTTGAGGTTTGAAAAAAAAAAATCAGATTTGGAGGAAAATGGAAGGGAATATGGAAGAGGAGAGGCACTGATTCAGAAGAGAACAAAAGTCTTCATTTTTGGAATGATCCAATGAGTCAGTAACAAGGACCTACTTTAAGGGGTAGCTTTTCAGGGACCTGGTAATACCGAAGAACCCAGGAAATAACTTCCCGCCACTGATCCATTTCTGCCAGGGCCTGGATCCCCACAACACACAAGGAGCATTTTACTTCTAAGGAACTGTCAGCAGAAAAACCAACTCAGATTTAGAAGCGGTCCCTCTCCATTTCATTCACATCTCCACACTGGTTCTTTTCCACCTTCCAATTTAGCAGCCATCACTTCCATCCTCCCCATTAGTATTCAAAGTGCCCTCACAATTACAATTGGTCTAAAGGGCCCCAATGTAGAAAAAACTGCCCCTTCTAGAAATTAAAAGTTCTATAAATCTGCTAGAGGCAAATCAACTCTTACCCAACATCTTTTTGAAAAATATATATTTTTATTGATTTCAGAGAGGAAGGAAGAGGGAGAGATAGAAACATCAATGGTGAAAGAGAATCATTGATTGCCTGCCTCCTGCATGTTCCCCAGTGGAGATGAGCCCACAACAAGGGCATGTGCCCTTGACCTGAACCTGGGACCCTTCAGTCCACAGGCCAGTGCCAAACCGGTTAGGGCTATGGTCTGCAAACTGCGGTTCACGAGCCACATGCGGCTCTTTGACCCCTTGAGTATGGCTCTTTCACAAAATCCCACGGCCTGGGAGAGTCTATTTTGAAGAAGTGGCATTAGAAGTTTAAGTTTAAAAAATTTGGCTCTCAAAAGAAATTTCAATCATTGTACTGTTGATATTTGGCTCTTTTGACTAATGAGTTTGCCGACCACTGGGCTTGCCCAACATCTTTGTATGCATGTGTACTTTCCTCTTTGTATGCCAGAATTAGAAAAATATACCTGCAACACAGGTGTGTGGATGGAAAGAGAGCTGGAACTAACAGTTTGTGTGAAGAAATGGGGATGGAGCCTGAGTGTGGTATAGGGAATCCACTGGCCTTAATGCCAGCCAATGAAATACCTCCAGTTACATTTCCATAAGACCAGGAATCACAGTCTTCAGCGTTTACTGTAACAAGCCCCCATACAATCCCTAAAATCACAACCAGGGCTCCTCAGCTTTGACTATTCTACCCATCACTTAATGTGTGATCTAATCCAATATTGTAACCCACAGAGAAATGATTTCCTCAAGTTCCAGAAGAGGCTAGCAGCATTAGAAAAGGTAGTGGAGCCGAAACCGGTTTGGCTCAGTGGATAGAGTGTCAGCCTGCGGACTGAAGGGTCCTGGGTTCAATTCTGGTGAAGGGCATGTACCTTGGTTGCGGGCACATCCCTAGTAGGGGGTGTGCAAGAGGCAGCTGATCAATGACTCTCTCTCATTGATGTTTTTAACTCTGTCTCTCTCCCTTCCTCTCTGTAAAAAATTAATAAAATATAAAATAAAGAAAAGGCAGTGGAGGGCAAGATTTTTCTTTCTCTAGGTTATTCTTTAATCCAGCTCTTCAGCAGGACCAGAGCCCTATTCCAACTCATCAGCCAAGACTAGATGTGAACAACTTAGGGATGGGGAGTGTACCTAGGAAAGGACTGAGACTGCTTATTGAAATAATTTAATACAACACACATTCTATCTTCCCATCAGATTGGAGCAGGGAGCAAAGGATTGGCTAAGCTCTGTTCAGAGGCTCCTTTTTCTCCTCTGCAGAATGTGCACTTCAGCCTGTTAGAGGCTTCCTATGTACATTCTGGGAATGACAGGTTTTAGAAATGCTGATCTCTCCTCAGGCAAACCCCGCATATATGTGCTCATAGGCCATCAGCCAGGGCTAGTTGCTCAGGCTCTGGCCGGCTTGCTGACAGGTGTGCAGCGCCTCCCGGAAGTCCAGGTGTACCACTAAGTGATTGGCCGCCTCCTCCAGTAGAGCTTCGGCCTCTGCCGCGACAGGACGACGCACACCATTTTGCTGCTGCTTAGGCACTCCCGATCCCCCTAAGTGTGACTGCAGCTGTCGACGGATCACTCTTCATAGCAGCCTGGTTCGAGGCTTCTACAGACGTCCCCACGTGGCCCCTCTCCAGGGCTCCAGGGGAGCCCTATTCGGCCTGGGAGAAGTGGGCAGTCCTCACAGCCGTGTCCACAACCCTTCAGGAGGCCGAGTCCTGGACAAGGAAAAGAAAGGGGCTATACAGTATTCTAAGGCTAAAGCTAGCTTCGCCCAGCTCCTGGAGAAGCAGTTTATATCGATGTGCAGAACGGCTGTGTGCCTCAACTACCTGGCCTAGCTTTTCTGTCCCCACAACGTGTACGGATGCACCTAAGCCCTGGGAGAATGCGAGTGTATGCTACTTCCCAAGAACAGAGCCACTCACCCAAGGAATAAACATTATCTTTCCAGTTCTCGCGGTTCTGCAGCATGGTTTGAGCGGCGCGCGGGACTCTGGGGGTTGTAGTTTTCCGGCCCTCGACTCTAGCTTTAATAATGCAAATGGGCAGATTAGGACTATAACCACCAGCATGCCGCGCACCCCAAAACTGGTTGTGTCCCAGGGAAAAAAACAAACAAGATCTAAGCCCACAACCTTAGCAGTTTCTTTGCAGGTAGGGAAGGCCTCTGTCTACCCTGTCAGGGTGTCTACCATGGTGATAGATATTTGGTCTTCTTGTGGGGAGGCATATGGGTGTTACGAAGTGAGTTCCCCAAGAGATGAACCACGGGAGCCAATTTGATTAAGCATGCAAGAGTTTATTACAGATTCGAATCGGGCTCAAACCTTGGCTGATGCAGCAGCCGGTAAACACCCAGATGCAGCAGCCGGTAAACACCCAGGCAAGAGCCCCGATGGAGGGGCAGTCCCTCCTCTTATACCTCTTTTTCCCCACCCCTCCCACTGTTGGTATGTCACTCCCAGACTGGCCCCTCAGGACAAAGACCTGAGCTATTTCTCAGGTAGTTTACACAACCTGGCCTGTTTTGCCTCAAGCAGAATGTCTGTTCTGACTTCAAACAGGAGTGCAGGATGCTGGGTTTTGATGACACCAATCTCCTAGCCAGGTCTGGAGGGAGGTCTGCATATCTTACTACAAATTCCAGGCACTGAGTTACAACTGTTACAACTGACTTTATTTTTTTAAACACCCCCCTCCCCCCCTCTTGGGCAGACAAGGCCGACTGTCACAATGGGTGAAGTCTAGCTGCCAGTCCTGCCTTGGGAGGTGTCCCCTTCATTTGATGGGAAGGAAAGTTGGGGTGCATTCCTCCCTGGGATGAGTCAGCTGCACACGTGGAGCAGGAGAGCAGGCACTTGTGACTGCCTCTCCCAGTGTGGGCGAGGTGAAGAGGGATGAAGGTCATCTCCAGGGTCCGCTCGAGTGTTACAGTCACGTAGGGGGTTTTCTGATATTCCTGGGAGTCTAGACACGAGCTCTCACCCACAAACAGAGTTAAATCAGGATTAGAGTGAGGAATCTGAGAGTCCCGCCTGTGATCTCAGGGCAGGAGTGCTTTGCTGCAGTTTGGATAGAGGCAGCAGGAAGGAGAGTGGCTGAGTTCAGGACTTGGGGCTGGGTTAGGGAGATGTCAGGACTCTCGAGGAATAGGAGATGGAGTTCCTGCATGCGAGAGGGGGCAAGGAGAGGTCAGGATTGGTGTGACGGAAATTCCTTTAGTTTATGGGTGGAGAAGACCTGTAAGGATTGCTGGAAGCAGATCTTCTGGGCCTCCTTGATGAGAAGAGCAGCTGCAGCCAGAGCCCAGAGGCAGGGCTACAGTCCCAAACTGTGGGATCAAGCTGTTAGGACAGGTAGGCTATGGGGGTGAAGGCTGGACCTAGGGGCTGGGTGAGGACCCCATGACTATTCTCTGTCTTTCATCAGTAAGTAGTTGGAAAGGTTTAGAGATGTCTGGAAGAGAGAGAGAGAGAGAGAGAGAGAGAGAGAGAGAGAGAGAGAGAGAGAGAGAGAGAGAGAGAGACACACACCAGAGAGAGAGAGAAAGAGAGAAAGAGAGAAAGACTGACCAAGACCAGAAGGGTATCCTGGAGTCCTTGTCGAACCAGGGAGGGTGAGGAAACCTGGTATAAGGGCTTAGCTAGGAGAGAAAATTTTGGGATCCAATGATGGAGAAATCCTACCGGTGGAGGCCAGCTGTTGCCTCTGAGACGTGTAGTGTTGGGTTCTAACAAGCATCCTTGGAGGTCTCTGGGTAAGGCTTGGCCAAACAGGTGACTGTCTCTGAAGGGGCAGGATTGTCCAAGTGAGTGGGAGACCGATCTGGAACTGAAAGATAACTGAGACCTAGATGTTATTTTTAGGGGGAAAAGAGTAGGGCTCTTAATTGCCTCACTAGTGATATGAAAGAGGAGAATAGGTTACTGTTGGAAGTAGGTTCTTTTTTTCCCAGTTTTGCCCCTTGCTGGGCATAGCATGGGGAAGCAGAGAGCGCCAGGGGAAGGAAGGCGGAGAGTGTAGAGGGGGAGGAGCCAGGGTAGGTGGGCCATGAGTGAGCAGGCACTGGGGAGGGCGGGGGAGAAACATCGGGGAAAGTGGATCGCAGGGGGAAGGCTGAAAAGGTGGGTGAGGTTAGAATTCCCAGGTAGGAATGCCCCATCCTACTAGGGTGGGACTTGGAGTGACTACCCAGGGAGGGACCTGCAAACGGTGCAGCGACCGAGGCTGAAGGAAAAAAAAGGTTAAAACTGCTCCTGCGAGTCCGCAGCAAGGACTCCCGCACTCGGGCGCACGACCTGGGAAAAAGTGCTTAGTTAGAAGACAGGTTTAAGGTTGTAAGGATGTGGCAGCAGTCAGCCACGTGGAGAGAAAGAGCAGTCAGAAGACAAAGGGGTTTGAGAACAGGTTTGAGAGTGCAGAAAGGATTTGCAGCTGAGAGAGGAACATGAGTAGAGTGAGATGGGAGAGTGAGGGGGGGGGGGGGGAAGCCTGTTTGTGGAAATCTCTGAGGCTTCCTTGTCTGGTGGATATCGGGATGCCGTTTTACGAGGTGGGTTGGCGGAAGATATTGGAATCGAAAATGCCGTTTTAAATGAGCGTTTTTGGTTTGAAGTAGGCAGAAAGACCAAGGGTCGAGAGATTGGCGAGAAGACACCTTAGGGGCGTCTGGATTGAGAAAGTTCCCATGACTGGAGGGGATAGTGCCAACAAGGAGAAGTTGGGGGGGGGGGGGGGGGGTCCTTCTTTTCCCCCTAGCCAACCTGTAGATAAGGTCCCAAGGTCGTCACCCTGAAACCTTTCCCGTGGAGTAGAACAGAGTTTCCCCGGCCAGGCGCCTGGGCTTTTGTAGAACGTAGAATGTGAACGTAGAACGTTAAGCCGAGTAGAGGAGAAAACTCTGAGGCTCTTCCAGGTCAAGGGAACCGGGAGGGGGGGTCGCCCCTGAGGCCTACTGGTAAGGAAGCGACCAGATTCCCATGTGTCCTGGTACGGCAGGGTTCCAGAGGGGTTCTGAACTGGCCAATCAACTCAGGTTCATGCCTCCTAGCATAGCCAGAGGATTTACCACGTTCACCCGAGTCTGAGGCACCATCATGATAAATTAAATAGAGAAGGTAGACCAGAGACCGGTATGGCAGGACACAGGCTTTATTGGAGGGAAGGGTACCCCTGCTGGCTGCTTCCACGGAGATGAGCAGAAGAGAGAGCGAAGGGCTTACAAGCACCTTTAAGGATAGAGGGCGGGGCTTAGGGCACTCAGCACACGCTGATTGATTAGGGACCTAGGGACTTAGGAATGGGGGCTTAGGGTATTTGGCAGATGCTGATTGATGGTTCAGAGCTCAGGAATGTCTGGCCGCAAGTGGGATTTATGTCTGTCCAGATCCTCCTTCTCCACAATCTCCACAGCCATTGCCCTCAGGGCCTCCTCTCTGTCCTCCCTTCTCACCTACAGATCTGTAGTGTACTCACCCACTACCACTACTACCATGCTGCTAGGGCTTGGGGATTGGAACTGTGCTGAAGGCTGGGAGGTAAATATAGCCTTTGCTGACCTGGAACTATTGAACTGAGGACCTGAGGTGACTGAGAGTCTACAGATCTGTAGGTGAGAAGGGAGGATAGAGAGGAGGCCCTGAGGGCAATGGCTGTGGAGATTGTGGAAAGGGTGCAGCAGTGGAATCCTGGCTAGAGTAGCACCAGACCCTGCAGGTGACAGAGAGGAGTTTCCAGCCCACCAGACAGAGCTGAAGCATTAGAATGAGAGTAAGGGCCCCGTCCTCCTTCCTACAAGCTGTTGGCACCATCCCAATATGGGTCTGATCAAACCATCTGGACAAAACCATAATGCTTCCACAGAACCAGCTCCATGGGGGAAGGGTGTACAGCTCAGAAAAGGAGCTATGAAAGTGTGAGACTCAGTTTCGGGGCTAATGAGTCCTACCCACTGGACTATCGATAGGTTTTCAACCTCTCAGGCCTCTATCAGGTTGCCCAGGGATAGTGATTCACATTGACCTGCATCAGAGAAGCTCCTAGGGGGCCCAGAAAAGATCCACCAAGGGACCATATTCAACAACATTAGTGCAAAATCCAGCAAGCTCCACAAATAGCAGACCTAAAGATTTTTCAGTGTGTCAGTGTGTATGGTTTTGTTTTTTGGTCTGTGGTGAGTAGATTTTTTGTTTTTCCCTTTCTTCTCTTTTTTTCTTCCATATCTCTAATTTCTCTTTACCCTTTGATCCTATTTTAATTTTGTCTATTCTTATTCATTTTTCTTTATTTTTCTCTTTTTTCTGTTTTACTTTTTCTATCTATATCTTATATTTATGACATTTTAAATTCATCATTATTATTTCATTTATTTTCTGTTTCCTTTTCTTTTTTCATCATATACTAGTTATTTTAGCTTCCTCCTTGCTTCCATATAGCCATTTTTTTCATCTTCCTTCTCCCCCTTTTTTTTAATATACCCTCTCAGGCTTGGTTGCATGGGTTTTAGTATTCTTTTCTTATTACTTTGTTTTGCTTTCTCTTATTTTTCTTTCTTAGTATTTTCTGTTGTTGCACTGAGTAGTTTGATTTTTGTGGTGTTTTTGGTTTGATCCTGTTGTGTGTTATTTTGTTCTGTCAGTACATGCATAAACAACTGGCATGACAATGTTGGGGTTGACCTCACTGGCAACACATCGAAGAAGAGATCCCTCTAATGAATGGGCATTAACAGTCAAGTCCCAATTACAACAGGAGAACCCAAATAACACACACAGGGGCATTTCCAGATCATCCAGCTCAAGAACCCAGAGACTGCACTACTTGATCCCTCATGACACTTTCTACATAAGGCCATACCACAAAAAATGGGAGGCATAACACTTCTATCTAATACATATAAGAAAATACAAAGACACACCTAGAATGGGAAGACAAAGAAA